TCCTGCTGTAAGCACTTCCTAAAAGTGCCCACAGCAAGTCCAGCCCTGGATCTGCTCCACTGCAGCGTTTGCTGATCAGATATTGGGTGGCTCTGTCAGGGAGGAGAGTCCCAGAGCCCTCAGCTGGACCTGCCCAGCCTGAGGGAATCCCAGCAGGATGAGCTCCAGGCAGGGCCATTAATTCCATTTGCTGCTGAATCACACTGCAGGATTCACCTCTGCCTGCAAAATTCACCTCTGCCTGCAAAATTCACCTCTTGCCTGCAGGATTTACCTGTCTGCAGGATTCACCTCTGTCTGCAGAATTCACCTCTGCAGGTTTTACCTCTGTAGGATTCACCTCTGCAGAATTCACCTCTGCAGGATTCACCTCTGCAGAATTCACCTGTGCAGGATTCACCTGTGCAGGATTCACCTCTGCAGGATTCACCTGTGCAGGTGTCACCTCTGCAGGATTCACCTGTGCAGGTGTCACTGTGCATTTCCCTGGCAGGCAGGGTGGCAGTGGGTGCTGTGCTGACAGCAGGGCCCTGCAAGCCTCGCTTTCCATCCCTGCTGCTGGTGGTGGCACTGCCCTGTTGGGAGAGGGAGGAGCTGTCCTGGGGCACCTGAGGGACGGTGCCACCTCCTCGGGCCCTGCCCTGCACAGAGCAGAGTGGGACTGGCAGCCCTTCCTGCAGGCTGGGCTGGGTTGGGAGCTGGCCTGGGCTCCTTCCCAGGGAATGCAGGGATGAGCAGAGAGGGGCGAGCTCTGGGATGCAGCTGCGTGAAGTTGTGCAGCTCAGCTTCAGTGAGGATCAGCCACCCCGACTGCCAATTAACACAAATAAACCCTGCTGGTGGCTCTGACAGTCAGCAGAGCCTTCCAGTCTGGCTGGGAAAACTCCTGGGAAGTGTTTTTGGTTAAAACCAGCACAAGGCTGCTCTGTCTGCACTTCTCCCTGCTCTGACTTGTGCTGTTTTCTTTACTTTTTGCCTGTACATATTATTTGCAACCCACTGCACCCAAAATACCAACTGGTTGCTCTCAGAGTGTGAAGCAATCACTGAATGAGTAGCTTGGGTATTTTTTTTTTCTCATTTAGACAGAAGAAACCAGTTCAGCTTTGACCATGCATGTTACATTTTAATTTTTTTTTTCTCATGCCAAGAAATACAAAGAAAGTATATAAGATATACCATACCATCCTGCAGAAAAAGAAACATTTGTCAGCAAAGAGAAGCACCCAGCTGCAATTCCTGGTGTGTTCATGCTGTGTGTGAGCTGTGGCTCTCCCAGTGGGGGGATGGACCCTGCACCTCCATGCCAAGGATCAAACCCTGGCACCTTCCAAGGGCTCCCAGGTGGCAGCAGGGCTGCCTCGGTGAATCCTGCACACGCTCCCTTTCTGACGTTTCTTATCCTGGATGGGTATTTATAGGTTGGAATTTTGCTACCTACTGGTGTCAGCAAACGCTTTACAAATATTCCCACTTTGAAAAGGCTGCTATCCCCCCGCACCCCCTTGGATCGTGCCCAAGCAGGGGAGTTTTTCAGTCCCAACCTAACTGGTTTTTTAAATTTTTTGCCAAAATTAAAGGCTTTATACTGAAAGGAAAACGAGCTTAAATCGGAATAATTTTCAGCTTAAAGGGCAACCCTGGCTGTGGCTCTGTGAGAAAGCGACAGGGCGAGGGTGGCGCCGGCCCAGCGGGTGCCTCCTGCAGCTCCCCCTGGGCTCGGAACGAGCAGAAAACCGAGATTCCATGTCACAGGAAAGACAGGAGCTGCTCCCTTTGTCTACATGGAGAATTCTGTGCGGGGCAGGTCGGGCTGGAGCCGGCTCAGAGCTGCCTGAGCCCAGAGCTGAGATCCCGGTGGAAGGAGGGACACGGGGAGGGAGGAGAAGCTGCGGGAGCTCTGGGGGCACTAAAACCAGCAGAGAGCAGGGAGACAGCAGGAAACTGGAGCAGGAAAAGCAGTCCCATCCTTAACACAGCAAACCTTGAAGTGCTTTGGTGGGTTTCTTCCCCCTGGTGCTGCTCAGATCCCTTTGGGGTCTGACCCTTGCCTTCCCCAGCCCTGGCTCACTGCATCCCACCTACAAAACCAAGCCAAGTCTGCTGCTGGTTCAGCTGGAAGCTTCAATCCAGCAGCCTTTCTGTGTCACCCCACAGAGCCCAGCTCTGCCCCAAACCCTGGCAAAGAAGCCCAGGGATGGCAGTGCCAGGGAGGTGCCAGCAGCCCCAGTTCTGCTGGGAGAATCCTTCCCGTGGATTTCCATCCCACCAGGACCTGACACGCTTGTGGATGGGAACTCCCACTCCAGCTTGCATTTAGAGGCATTTCCCACCTTCTCCATCCCTTCAGAGCTCTCCTCCCACCAGCTCAGCTTCCCTGGCAGGTAGGGCTGGATTGTCACCGTGCTCTCACCTTTCCTTCACCAGGGGGGAGAAGTTGGCCAGGATTTTGGGACTGTTTTAGCTGCAAACACGGAGAATTCTGATGTGTGTGCTCAGAGGAGGCTGCAGCAGGTGGCAAAGAGCTGGGGGATGAGAAACAGGGCTGCTGGGTGGGGCTGGGGAGGAAAGGGCTCATGGCACAGCTTTTGTGGTTGCCCTCCTGTGTGCTGAAAGCTGAGTTAAGGAGAGTTCCCTGGGGGATGGAGTCAAGGGTGACCGTGCCTGGGGGCCTCAGGGTGAAGTTCTGCCATCATCACCCTCACTGTAACCCTGCTCAGGTGAGTGTGTGCCAAGGGCTGGGGCTCTGCAGACTCCTCCTTCACAAATATCAGCAAATTCCACCCAAAAAGAGCCAAAGAGGGGATAAAACCATGGGGGATGGGGAGAGCAAAGTGGCAAAAACTTTGCAAAACAGGCTGCAAAATGTGTGGAGAAGTTGGTGGGGGAGCAGGGAAAGGGAGTTTCTGGGTGTCCCTGGAGAGTTAATTCCTCCAGCACTGCAGAGGCAGGTTATGAGCACAGTAAATATTTTGACAGGGATAATTGTAGAGGCTTTCCTCTGGATTTAAATGCAGGATAAGAGAAAAAAGAAAAAAAAGAAAAAAAAAAAAAGCTGAGTTGAAGGGTGCAGTACAATTGTATCTAGTCAGGAAGATTTTAGAATTAAAGGGATTCAAGTGTCTTAGTTCTTCTCTTTTGTTATATTTAATAGTGAGGTGAGAAGCAAAGCATCACCCGAGCCTTCCAATGAGACAGGAGGCACAAACAAATCATCACCCTGGGGTTTTTGGGGAAATCCTCTGCCTTCTCCTGCATCCAGGGGAATCCTGGTGCCTCCACTGCTCAGTGCTGCCCTGGCCTGGGACTTTTCCTGGCAAGGAGCACTGCAGCTGCCTCACAAAGCCTCTCCCTCCTCTGGCTGCAGGAATCCCACCTGGAACCGCAGTGGGGCACAGTTTGTTTAGATCCCACTGGAAAAAAAACCCAAACAAAGCAGATTCCAAGGAAATCTGTGCTCATAGATGGTTCTTTAAGGAGGAGGAAGGAAAGGGGGCTGGTTTGGGAGTGCTCAGTGCCTGAGCATTTGCCATCCCTGCAATTAGAGCAGTAATGTGAACCCACCTCGTGGGGGGTGGCAGGGTTTAATCCTTTGGATGCAGAGAAGCACTTTAGATGAAAGGCTTTATATAATGATAAAAGAGCATTTAAATCCTTACTTAATAAACGCTCAGTGCTCTCAAGTCCTAGAACTGCCTCCAGCACTTTTCCCTGAAAAAGGGCCCTTCCTGCCCAAGGAGGAGCTTCCAGGGCTCTTCCCATCAGCTGAATTCCAGCAGCTCCAAGAGCAAAGGGCAGGAAATCAGGGACAGGCAGCACTGCCCTTACAGTCCCTTTGGAACTACAGTTCCAAAAAAACCCCCCACGTGTTCCCCAGCAAGCAGCTTTTGAGTGCAAGAGTTAAAGAAGGAAACATTTGGGGGATTTGATGGGATTTCAGCAGCCATAAGATGAAAGTTTGAACATCCAAAGGAGGGTTTCTGAAGGGCTCAGGATGAAAAGATGCAGTTCCTGGACAGAGGATGGAGGAGGGAGCTCCCACCCAGCAATGCTCAGCAGTCCCTGTTTGCTGAACTCACAAAAAGATAAATTGCAAAAGAAAAGTTGCAGATTTGGTCCATTTTAGCTGCCAGCAGTTTGTGATGGAGTGCTGGCAAAGGGGTGGATGGGAATGGAGCCTGAGAAAGTGCTGTAGTGGTGTGCTATTGCTGTGAGCCCCTGGCATCCCTCTTGGGGGAGAGAAAAATGTTGACAGCGTGTCTGGGGGATTTGGCTTTCTCACCCCCTGCATTCAAACAACATCTAGAGGAAAAAAAAAACACTTGAAAGAGGAGCAATCAAAAAGGTGACAGGAGAATTTTCACAGAGATGCCCGTGGCTTTGCACATTAGTTACTACAGAGTAACTACAGCGTGGATTTACACCCCACCCCTACCCTGGGCTAAGCCCTGAGCCCACCCAGAGCCCAGGGCAGGAGCCAGTGCCAAGCAGTTACCAGGTTGTGAGGTTTCTTTTGGTGGATTCTCCATGTAGACAAGGCCTGGGAAGCATTGCATTTGGTCTAAATTTGGGGTGTTTTTCAGGAGATTGGTGTCAGGGAGCAGAAGTGCCCTGCAGGACATTTCTCAGTCAGTCTGTGCTTTCAGGTCACAGGTTGTCAGCTGGAGGCCACAGAAAGGTCGGGCAGTGCAGCTCTTGGTAGTGTGTCCCCAAAGTTTGGATCAAAGAGATTCAGGGAGCCAATGGACGTGGCCAGAAGTCACAAAGCCTGGCTGAAACAACAGGCAGTGGAGATTTGCATAGTCTGGGTGGGTGGGTAGAGGGCCAACCCCAGAGAGTCCCCCCAGCAATGAGGGGAGAGCGGGGAGGAGAAGGGCTGGGGCTGATGGAGCCTCCAGGGAGCGTGGGGGGATTGGGATGGGCCGAGGGATCTGTGGGCTGTGGAAGACATGGCAGAGGGCCTGTGGTACCTACAGACACAGTGGGAGGAGCAGAGTCTGTTTTCTTGTTGTGTTAAATACAAAACATTAAAAAAGAATACAACGACTCGCAGAACTGACCCCGGGCAGCTCCGGGGATTTTCAGAGCTGCAGAAGAGCTGTGTGAGGGGTGCAAGGAGAGGAGCAGGAGCCTAAAACTCCTCCATGCCCCTGAAAATCTCCTGGAAGGCCCAAAGCTGAAGCCCCAGAGGGTTGGGGGGATGAGCACTGGCAGTGGTGGGGGCTGGATGACGCTGAAGCCTCTGCGTGCCGTGACATCGGGGTGTGAGCGGGCACAAGGGGCTCTCCGTGCCTTGGTGCTGCTGCTGGGCATTAACCAGGCTCTTGTCTCAGTGCCAGGGCTGCTAACCTCCCTTTGGCTGCACAGAGAAATGCGTGGGTTCACAGGGAACGCCTGATTTTGCCTTCCTTTAAAAAGCCCACCATGGGATGGGGGTGAGGAGGAGTCCGGGGTACTCATGCAGCAACATCCTCCTCTGCCAGCTCTGAGATCTGCCCTAAGTGATAAAAGAGCTCGTAGGAACAGACATGGAGAACATTCCCAAAGGCATGCAAATGGTCATTGTCTCTTTTTTTTTTCTTTTTTTTTTTTTTTTTTTTTTTTTTTTCATCAAAAATACAAAAGCACCCACCACATCCTCCGGCTTTGGCGGCTGCGTTTCGTTGGGAGCAGAGCCGCGCTCCGGCTGCAGCTCTGCTCTCCCTCCTCCTCCTCCTCCGTGGAACAGCTCTCAGCTCCTGATGGCAGTTTGAGCTTTGTTTTGTTGTTTTGTTGTTTTGTTTTGTTGTAGAGACAGAGAATTCGACGATTTAAAAACCAACAACCCCCCAAAAATCCAGCGACTTGTGCCAAAAATTCTCAGGAGGACTCCTCAAAAACGTCCCGTTCTCGCCTTGTGTTTTCCTTCCAAAACCAGCTTCCTTCTGGAGACTCTCTCCTCCTCTTGCACTTTAGTTGTCTCCCCACTCCGTGAGTTCTGCTGGAGGGGAATGAGGTAGTGGATTTCCCCTTTCTCCTCTCCTCAGTGGCCTCTCCCATTGCTCCTCAGGGTGGTTTTTATCCCGTCCCTCGCCCAGGCTCATTCCCAAGAGGCGGTGAATCGAAGCATGCGTTCCCTCTGACGGCGCTCCAGAGCAGGCTGTCTAGGGCTGCCCACCTACACTGTGACAATTTTTTTTTGTTTTGTTGCAAGGCTGAAAGTAAAAACCCCAAAAGGAAAGTTGTCTTCCTCCTCTTCAAGGTATTTGCATGCTGAAACGTCTTCTAGGAAACTGTAAAAGAAAGAGTGGCTTAGGGCAGCTTCCAACAGCCAGCAGATGTTCCCCTTACCCTCCTTTGGGTGTTTCTGAGGTCCCTCTTTGCCTGAGCTGTGCTGATCATGCTGGTTTGGCAGGTGAGGCTGTGCTTGAGAGGTTCCCAAGACATTTTGGGATTGTATTTCTGATTTGTGTCCTGAAACCTTTCTGTTTGTACAGCGCTCCACTCTTCTAAACCCAACCACAGGCTTTGCCAGGGTGGGGCCTTTCACCAGGGAGACCTTGTGTGGTCACCAGGGCACTTTGGACAGCACAGGGAGGGCTTTCCACGCTGGCCATTTGGGCAGTGTGTGTTTCTACTGGAAGGAGCCCATTCTCTGAGCTGTTTTCCACGTGTGTGTGCAGCTGGTGATGCTCAACCCAAGCTGGACTCTGCGCCCTCCCACTGCCCTCAGGCTGGGAATGGGGGCAGGTCTATCCTAACCCTGGGTGGAGCTGGGAGCCAGGTGAGGCTCCTGCTGGAGCTGGGCTGAGGGAAGGAGAAGGAAGGGTTACCTCTGACGCTGAGTGAGATGTAGAGCACGATGATGATGGTCCCCAGCACGATGGAGACGATGCTGAGCAGCCTGGCCATGCGCCCCAGCCGCCGGGCGCCGTCCGTGTCCCCTTGCTGGCCACTGTTCCTCGACTGGAGAGACACAAAAAGAGTCCCTTGAGAGGGGCAGCAGCTCTAGGGGTGACTCCCTGGCTGTAGAACCCCAAACCGAGCCCCGTTTTCTTTCCTGCTCCTTTACTTGGCGATCACCTGGCTCCCGAGCAAAAAGTGAGGATTCCTGGTGAGGGAGAAGCACCAGTGCTGGGGGCAGGGCTCCTGATCCTGCTGGAAAGGAGCTCCTGGACATCCTGCCCTTGGCTGGGGCAGCACCCAGCGCTCAGCAGAAGGGCAGCTGTGAGAGGACCTGTGGTGGAATTACTCACCGTGCGTCAGCACTTGCTGCCAGCCCAGCCCTTGGGATCCAAAAGCCTCCCCAGATTCGTGCAGTGCCCTTCTGCCACCCCCAAAACCCATTGGGAAGGGGTTCTGGGGGGAGGAAAAGTGGGTGAGGGGTTTTAAGGCCTGTTGGTGACATTTTCAGCTGGTTGGAAGAGCTTGGAGGAGGGGAAAGGGAAGCAAGGTGGGACAGGGGGAGAAGGGAGCCCAGCATCCTTGATCCAGTGGAGGAGTTGGGCAAAACCCCCCTAAACTTCACTTGGAATGGGGTTTTATTGATGATTTAACTGCTTTGAAGCAGATATTCCTCCTTTGGGGCTGCTTTTGTGTATTTAACACCTTAACGTGGGTTAAAGGCTTCTTCCCCTGGCCAGCCCATCCCCAGCCAAGCTGCCTTGGAGGAGAAGAGGGGATCTGGGGCGAGCTGTGGGGCCAGCAGCTCCCACAGCCCTGTGCTGTGTGCCAGCCCTCCCTTTGGAGCATGGCTGCTAAAACTGGGGGAATTCTCAGTTAAAAAAAAAAAACAAAAACAAAAACAAAAACAAACAAGTGTATTAGTTAAAATTAGTTAAAGGTGGAAGTGGATTAAAGCAATCCCAGTTTCCTTTCAAAAAATGTGTATCACAGAAACAGCTGTGATGGAAAAGATCCCCTTCCTCATGTTAAAAAAACCCAAAAAAACCCAAAAAAAAACCCCAAACAGTTAAAATTTATGTTTAATATGTTCCTCATGCTAAAAAAAAAAATTTAAAAATTAAGATCAGGGCGGTCTAGGCCAGCTCCAGCAATAACCATGAAACATCACAGAGAATCTGAACCACTACTTGATGTTCCTGCCCCATTTCCCATTCATCCTGCTTTAATTCCACTGCCTGCTGGCAGCACCAGAACATCCCCAGCCTCACCAGAACATCCCCAGCCCCACCAGAGCATCCCCAGCCCCACCAGAACATCCCCAGCCCAGGCCGTGCATGGGCAGCGGCTCCGCAGGAAAAACACAGCTTTGGAGGTTTCCATGGGCTCCTTTGAGTTTGTGTCACCAGGAAAATAGCACAGCAGAGCCCCAAACAGGCGGGTGGCTGCTTCCTCTGCCCCCCTGGCAACGTCCTGCCCCGCTCAGGAGCCACCCTGGGCATGGCTGTCCCCAGCAGTGACACGGGAGTGCTCAGGACCCTGCTCCTCCTGCTCTCACCAGCAGCTTTGCCAGACCCACTCTGAAAGCAAGGGGATGCAGCCAAGAGCTATTTTCATCCCAGAACAGGAGGTGACAAAATGAAGCCTCATGGGTTGGTGGTGAGAGATGGGGAGGATGCAGAGCCCAGGGATCGCCAGGATCCCTGCCCTGCTCGCTGACAGCTCCAGCTCTGGGGATTTGGTGTCTCAGTCTCTGGTTTTTGTAACAAGTGTAATGTTTTGGCAGGGTGGGGGTTAGCTTGCACTGAAATATGCAGTTTTAGCTGTCTTGCAGGCAAAATACACAGGCTGAGGGATTCGATGTATTTATCACTACAGCTTCTGGAAGTGTTTGCTGCTCATTTATCCTCAGCAATTATGAGAAACACATCAGCACTGGCATGGGGTGTTTAGCAAGAATTTGGTACTGTACATGTATTATTAATCAGAGTGGAACAGTTTGATTATAGCTCTCTAGTATCACTAACCCCCTGTTTTGCTTTCCACATAAAAACATTAACATCTTGTTTATTAATCGAGGCTCACCAAGGCAGAACGTCTCCGAAAGGCTCGGGGGCTCTGGGGGAGTGAGTCACTGTGTGAGTGCCAAGGGACTCCCTGCTCCAGCCCAGAGCTGGAAAATCTGCAGGGCCTGGGGTGTGGGTGCTGCTCTGCAGCCCCCGTGGGCCAGGTAAGGCTGGGTGACTCAGGAGTTATTAATTTTACCTGTTTCCCACTGCTATCTGTTCCAGTCACTGCTCAAAATGTTTTTTTTTTTTCCCTAAGTGGCCTTCTTGCAAATGAAGGAAATTACTTTCCTGTGCTGGTCCCAGGGATGGGGAAGACAAATCATCCCATCCTCTTTCCTGCAATCTTTCCCAGTTGATGAACTGGCTTTGGATGCTCTCTGCTGCCGTCCACCAATTACCCAGAATAAATCATTAATCCTGGACACTTCTGTTCTTGTTGAAGGAAATATTCCAAGAGAGGCATCAGTCAACTCCAGAGCGAGACAGATGACTGTGATGGGTGAGGACAGTCTGACTTCTCCCACATGTTCTGGCAATGACACAATTTATTTTGGATACCAAGTGCTGCGCAGAAGCGCCCTTGATGTTACTGTGTGATGGTTCTGGCTGGATTTTTTTTCATTTCCCTTCATTTCCCTTCATTTGTTTGGAGTTTTTTTTTTACTCTGGGATGTGGCTTCTCTGCACTTTGGTGGGCAGAGGAAAGGATTCACAGCAGGAATGCAGGGTGGGTGTGTGGTAGCCAGCCCTGCCCTGCACTCCTAGGAGATGGATCCCAGGGATCCTTGGGGACATCTTTGTCCACCAGTCCCACTCTCACTCTTGGGGAGTGACCTGAGCCCTTTAGAACAGCCAGATCATCACTTGGTGAGAAAAACACATCCAAGAGTCTGTGGAGAAGCCTCCAGGTAATTAATTTCCATGAAACCAGTGTTAGCAGGAACAGGCTGGGGGTGCTAGAGCAGGGTTTTTTCCACCTCCGGCCATAGGCCCTGTTGGGATGTGAGAGCAGCTTTTGTAAAATGATTTATGAGACACTAAGCTCAAAAGCATTAATCTCTGGACGCTGCTTGTTACCCAGGGAAAAAAAAAAAAAACAGTTTTCATGTGCAAAAGCTTTGACTCAGGAAAGAAAAGCACAATTGCAGAGCCAAAGGAATGTCAGCACATTGTGGAAAAGTCCTCCTGTTTCCTCAGGCGATAGGAATCACAAAATCCTGGTTCCTGCTCAGATCTGTGCATGATCAGGGCTTTACTCTGAGAGAAGACCTGGGGCTGGGGGAGCCTTGGGGGTCACTGGGAGCTCAGTTCCCCCTGCTGCAAGCAGGTGAAACATCAACCCGTGCCCTGAGAGCTGCTCCTGCTGGCAGCAGGACCCAGCCAGATGTTCCCTGGTTCCTCAGGGAGGGAGGGAGGGTGGATCACTCCTCATCCTGCTCTGCTGGTGCCTGTGGAGATCCCTGGCTGCCAGTGGGTGTGTGGAGGAGGTGATGGTGCCGGCAGGGCCAGGACTAGAAAGGGCTGTAATAATTAATTAAAGCACAGGACAGAGAGTGCAGAGGTGACTGTGCAGAGGCCAGAGGATGTGCACTGGCCACTAATGTGCTGTGTGTGCCATCAACCTTGTCCTGGAGAACAAGCTCAGCTGAATGCACCTTCTGCCCCCCCTTCCCCAGCTCTGGATGAGCCCTGGGCAGTGCTGCCAGTGGCCTTGGAAGCAGAGGGCAGCCCAATAATCTCATTGCCTTGCTGCTCCTGCCTCCCCTTGGGTGTGACAGTCACCACACCCCTGTCCCTCTCAGCCTGGCAGGAACAACTCCTGCTGTTTTTCCACTGTTAACTCTTCTCCTCCACGGGGCTGGTGTGGTCCAAGGCACACCCCCACCCTCCTGCAGGCTCTGACAACTGCAAGGGACAGTGTGAGGATCTATTTTGCATGAAGGCTAATGTGGCTGGCAAATCCCCGTGAGAGCCCTTGTTTATTACCATGGATATGCAATACCCAGCTGCTTTCCCTCTCCTTGCAGTGCAAAGCCAGACAAGGCTGGCTGGCTTCCCTGGATGCTGCCTAAACAGGCTGTGCCACACAACTGTACTACGCAGATGACAGCTGGCACTGGCAGAAACGATGATTCCTCCTCAAAATGGAAATTGGTCTCCCTAGAGGGCTTTTTGTGGCAAGTGCCCGTGCCTGCCTTCAAGTTGTTGGTGGTTTTGGGGGGAAGAGCTGGCTGCAGGTGCCCCTCAGTGTATTTCTGCGTGGTAAGCAGGTAATGGAGCTGATCTTCAAAGAAAAGATTTGCCTTTGTTGCAAATCAAAGGCATGGAGGGTGCTGGGTGTGTACAAGAGAGCAGCATCTGCTGGGGAAGGGGGTGGCTCTGCTCGTAGGGCTGTGCTGGCTGAGCCACCTGTACCCGAGATGGGTGGGAGGCCGGGATGGCTTCATTCTCCCCTGCTCGGCTCTTGGTGTGTTTGCTGGGGTGTGGGGGATGTTTAATGGAGGAAAATTGCTTCTAAAGGAGCTGCAGGTGCAGCCTGTCCCTTTGAAGTGCCTGAGGCCGGGCGCCAGCCTCCAGCCAGGGTCTCTCCATTGCTGCAGGGCTGGGCTCGGAGGGGCTCGGAGGGGCGGAGGGAGATCCCTGCTCAGTGCTTCGCCCCGCAGCTCCTTCCCGGGGAAGCCCGCCGAGTGGTTCTGGACCGCTGCCTGGCGGCAGGGACCGCGCTTCCCGGAGCCACCGCGCTTCCCGGAGCCCTGCCCTGAATCCCACCCTCTCTCCATCTCCATCCCGCCGCCTTCCCGCATCTCCATCTCCATCCCGCCGCCTCCTTTTCCATCTCCATCTCTATCTCCATCTCCATCCCGCCGCCTCCCCGCGCGCTGCCCCGGGCTCGGTGCAGCTCCCCGCCCGCCTCCGCCCGCCCGCGCCCCCCGGACCCGCACCGGAGCGCGCTGCGGGAGCCGAGCAGCTCCGGTGCCGGTGCCGGTGCCGGGGGTGCAGCACCGCGGACAGCTCCGGGGCGCCCGTCGGGGCGGCGGCGGGGGAAGCCGGGGGCGAACCGGGCGGGTCCGGCGGGTCCCGCACTCACCATGATGGAGAAGACGAGAGCCACGATGTTGATGGGCCAGACGGGGCAGAAGCAGGAGAAGATGGCGAGCACCAGGTAGTCCCGAGGGCGGCCCTGCTCCGGGGCCGCCGTGCTGGTGGCCGTGGACGAGGCTCTGCCCAGGCTCAGCCGGGACGGCGACAGCGGCGGCGCCTCCAGGTGCCCGACCGACACCGACTTGTAGCCGAGCCCGTGCCCGTTGCGCTCCGTCTCGCCGGGCAAGGCTGCCGTGAAGGATTTGGAGCCGCGGAGGCCCTTCTCCTCCCGGCCCTCCGTCGCCGACAGCAGCTTCTCCGTCTCCTGGAAGCGGGTGGGCAGCGCCGTGCCCGAGCCCGGGCCGGCGCCCCCGGGCGCGGAGCCGGTGCTGGCCATGGCCCGGCGGAGCGGGCTCCGGCAGCGCCCCGCCGCCGCCGCTCTGCGCTCGGGGCCCGCCGCCCCTCGGGAGGCCGAGCCGGGCTGGCCCCTCCTCCGGCTCGGCCCCCGGGGCAGGATCGGGGCGGCGGACCGCCCCCGGGGTGTCCCCGGCCCCCCCCTCTCCTCGCCCCCTTACCGCGCTCGGCCTCCGCCCGCCCCGCTGCGTGCGGCGCCGCGGCCCCCGGGGATGCTGGCGGGGATGCGGCGGGGCGGAGCGGAGAGACGGGGAGTCCCCGCCGCCTTCAGCCCGGCCCAGCCCAAGGCTCTGTCCCGCCCCACCGACCCCCAGCTCTTTCCGGGGGCTCCCACGGGCTCTGCTCCGCTGCAGCGGGACGTGAGAGCCCAGCCCCGACCGGGCTCCGCCCGCGCCGCCGGGGCTCGGGGCCGCCTCCAGCGCCGGAGCGCGGGGGATGCCGAGGTGTATTTGCGGGGTACACACAGCCCTGCTGCCCCTGCTGGCTGCCAGCCTTTCCCCAGGCAGGTGGGGGACATGCGGCACGGAGCAGAGCCACAAGCCCCTCATCGCTGCGGAGAGGGGCTGGAAATGCGCTGGGTCTGGGCAGGGCTGCCCCGAGGGGTCTGGGCAGGGCTGCCCCGAGGGGTCTGGGCACTGTGTGGGTGCCCGTGGCACCTCTGGCTCCAGCCGCTCTGGGAAAGCATCGTCCCCCGGGCACAGGGTTGGGCACGCCGTGCTGAGCTCGCCCTGCCCTCGCTGCGCGTGGGTGACCGTGGTGACACCACAGCTGGGGACAGGGACACCAGATCAGTGGCGTACCCCGCCCCAGCACAGGACCTGCAGAGCAGAAAGGGTGCTGGTGCAGTGTGAGTTACATTTTCTCCATCTTTGGGAGCAGGGATGATGTGAGGGGCAGGAGGGAAGGCTAAAACAACCCTCAGAGCCTGGATTCTCAGAAAAAATATGGATGTTTTCCACACATTGTGTATCACGCTTCAGTTCCAAATTTGCCAGGGGTTTCCCTGGCAGTGAGTGCCATCTACGGGGCACACCCAGCACCTTCTGCCTCCCGAGAGGTGCCCGAAGAGCCTTCTGCCAGCCGGGACCTGCTGCCCAGCCCTGCCCGGAGCCTCGTCCCATCCCGCAGCCTCCAAACAGAATTAGGAGCCGCAGTTTGTGAATGTGGATCTGAGAGCAGTGGGTGACCCTGCTCGGGGGGGTCTCACGGGGTTTTGCTTCCCCTCCACTCCTGCCTTTGGGACCATCTGTTTCCATCTGCCTCGCTTGGGCTGACCACCAAAGCTGGCGTGGGAAAACCAGGGAGATGCAAATTCGGGAGGAGGGAGGAGGGTTCCTTCCTGAGTTAGGGTGTCACTGAAACATTCTTTGCATGCTGCTGTTGCTGGGCTCTCACTCCCCGTGTGATGGCTGCTGACAGGGCAGGGCAGGGCTGTGCTGTGCTCCAGGGAGAGCCCGAGCAGGGAGAGGCACCCAGAGCTGTAGGAGAAGCAGGATTCCTTCAGAGGATGTGGCTGCAGGCCTTCTCCTGGCGAGGGGAGCACCTGTCAGGGGCTGAAGCCAGTGCCTCATGCCATCAGCACTTTAAAGAGGCTCCTTTGCTGAGCAAAGAGCTCTCTCTCCTGGCTGCCACCAGTTTTCCTCTGCTCCCAGACCAGCTCTCCTGTCCCAGCAGGGATTAAGGAAGGAGGAGGAAATCCAGGTACTCAACAGCATGAGGCTGGGATGGTTGTTCCAGCACGTGTTCCTGGGCAGGGAGAAGCTCAGAGTGCCACTGGAATGCTGGCAGCACTGGGGTGGGAGCAGAGGGGCTGGAGGAGCTCTGCAGGGCTCAGCACTGTGGGAATCACACGGTGCAAAATGTCCTGTCCAAAAACCTGCCAGCTGTGGTGTGTGGGCTGTAAATCCCTGCCTGATTCCTGCAGCAATTCCAGTTTGCTGAGCCTTGGGCAGGAGGGAGCCCTCGCAGCTGGTCCAGGCTCTCCAAGCCAGAGGGAAGGGACAAAAGGGACCTTTTCCAGTAAAATTCCCCCTTCCTCCCCTCCACGGGACTTGGCGGGAGCGCGCTATTGGCCCGTCCCGACAGAGCCACTTCCCTGGGATCAGAAGGGAACCGCAGTTGGATGGGTGGGTTTATGAAAGCTGACATCTGTCTCCCCTCCCGGCCTCGCAAATCTGCCAGGCACAAACGTCTGTACCAATGAGCTTAGCGTCAAAAGTGCCAGGGCAGTAACCTTTCCCTGCTCCTGCTCCCCTCCTTCACCGGCGGCAGCCGGAGCCACCCGCCAGCCGGGGGCTTTAGCGTGATCCCCACGGCCCATCTGTCCATCCCACACATATTAACAGCCACTGCCCTGCGGCTGGGTTTGTAACTCGTGTTTTCTCGCAGAGCAAGCAAGAGAGAATAAATAACAGTGGAGATCAGCAGCAGCGAGACCTCGCGACAAGGAACAGAGCTGGCTCTTCCCAGAGGACTTCCCACCTTTCCGCAGTTCTCCCGCAGAGGGGAGGCACGCAGCAGGGTCCTGTACAGCGTGTCGGGGGCTCTCTGAGCCTGCCAGCGTCGCAGCTGAGCTGCACATCCAGCAGCGCTCCTCTCCCTCGCCCAGCAGTCCCTCGGCTCCGTTCCCATCCCGGCGCCGCCCCGCAGCCCCAGCCCGGCGGGTCAGGGCGTGGGGAGGCACTGCTGCTGTCCCCAGCCCTGGCAGCAGCCCAGCTGCCAGGGGACAGCCCCGGCCGGGGGCTCTTGCGGGCTGCCCGTGAATCGCTGCGGGTGCGGGGTCCCGCCGGAGCAGCAGGCGGGGCTGGGCGCGGGGCGATTCTCCTGCGGGCTCTCGTAGTGATGGAGCTGCCTCTGAGGGGGAAACGCCGCGCAGAGAGGGGACGGAGGGCACCGTGTCCCGGCAGAAACGGGCTCCCAGGGCAGCTGGGGGCGGCTGCCCTTCACCCCCGGCTCCTGCGCAGGGACCCCGGCCCGGGCGCGGCACTCGGAGTGGGCGCAGGGCCAGCAGCGCCCGTGCAGGGACAGCGACAGAGCCGCGATCCTGTTGATGGCTCGCCGGAGGGTGGCGATTTTAGAAAGCCTTTTGCCCCCGAGGTCGTGCTTGAGGGCCAGCCGCAGGGCGTTGAAGGCTTGGTTGTAGTCCAGAATCCTCTTTCGCTCTCTGACGTTGGCAGCCATCCTCCTGGCCTTGGAGCGCACCGGCCTGCTCCTCTTCCTCGCCTTCATCCCTTCCGTGTCCCCCGGGCTGGCGTCTGCTTCCCTGCCTTGGGACACCCACAAACCTTGCCTGTAGCACGCTTGGGGTGCGTCCCTCGCGTCCAGCTCCTCCTCGGAGCTGTCGGGCTCTGGCTCCGCTTTCCCCACGGCTCCTCCGGCCATGGCAGCGGCGAGGGGCAGCGGGAGAGGCGCTGCTGTGCTCCTGCCTCCTCGAGCTGTGGGTGACACTCCTCCGGGGACAGGCAGCCGCCTCTAAAAACCTTCAGCAGGGCTCGTCACGTGGCTGCCCCGACCCTCCTCACCTGCCGCAGGTGAGGCACAGGGACAGAGCCCTGCCTGCCCCTCTCTGAGCGTGCTGGGGCGCCCAGATGGTGGTGGGATGGTGGTGGGGTGCTCACAGGTCTTCGTGGAAAGCACCTCCACCGAGCTCACGTTGCTTTAGTGACTGCTGAGAGTTTGGGCACTGCGGGAGTTGCCCCGTGGTGCTCTGCCCTCTCCTCTGCCGGGCTGGCTGGTGGCTCACCCTGGGACAAGGTTATCCCAGGGCTGTGCTGTGAGGCAGAGCCCTGAGGGGCATCACCAGCCTGGCTCTTCCTTCCCCCTGCTCACTGGTCCTGAGCACCTCTGATATTTCTCACCCAAGGGGAACTGAAGCACGAAATGGTGCCACTGCTGAGGAAAGCTGCAAGTCTTGTGCTTGGGTCCAGAAGACACAGCCCTGGTGAGCTGAGAGCATCCGTGGGGACAGGGGGAGGTGGGTCCTGAGCAGGAGCAGACCCCTGCAGGAATGTGCAGGGCTTGGCACGCCTCTGCCCTGCGGAGCAGGAAGCAGGAATGTGGCAGGGGGGATCAGGGCAGGTGATAAAAGAGCTAAAGTGCTACCTGCCTGCAGAGCCTTCCTGTCCCTTCCCAGCAGCCTGGGGGCAGAGCTGTCTGGGCTGGCGCTCCCGGGCCTGCCCGGCACTTAACTTGGGGAAGACGGTGCTGAAAGCAGCTCCTTGTTTCCTGCATCCCCGAGCTGGTGGGATGAGGGGCTGGCCAGGTGCAGCAGGTCCGGAGGCCATGGGCAGGGCCAGTCCCCAACCTCTGAGCAGTGGGGGACAGCCACGTGTGTTTGCACATCATCTCGTTAGCCAGCAGTTGCTAAATGCCTTCCTGTGCCAGGGGAAATGCTTTGAAAAATGGCCCAGGACTGCTTCTGACAAATTGTTGGGGTGCAAAAGCAGAGCCCTGGGAGAACATGCCCCTCCCTCCTTGATCCATCCCTTCCTATCTGATCATCCCAGCTCATGTTTGATCAATAGCCACAATTAGTGGGGGTTATTTGTCTATTGCCCTTCTCCTCTTCTGACTCTTTGAAGCTGGAGCTAATTTAGGTGCCTCTTCTCCAGGAACCCAATAAATCAGGAGCCAGGGCCTCAGGGATGGGGAGGATGAGGCAGCAGGACTTCAAAGGCAGGTGAAGCTTGCAAATTTCTTTGAGCACTCACCTGTGCTCACTGTGAGCCCCTTGTTCTCCCCAGCATCCCTCTCACCTCCCAGACTTTCTCTGCCAGGAATGGAGGCTCTCCAGCCACTGACTTACCCAGCGAGCTCAGCTCAGGAGCCAGGAATGCTCAAGTGCCAGCAGGACATAGATGTCAGACCCAGTTAGAGATGTGCCTGTCTAAACCCAGCCAAGCAGGACAGATCCCTGCCATGGGGATGGTTTTGCTGGTGCTGGAGCTCAGGAGGTGCAGTCCAGAGCAGACACAGGGGTGGCAGAGCTGGGCACAAAGCCAGTCCCAGCTGGGTGGTGCCTGGGCAGGAGGAACAGTCCCAAAGCTGTCGCCACCCTGCCCACAGCCCCTGGGAGATCCTTGGGAAGCACTGCCAGGGCTTCTGGGTCTCTGGGCAGCCCTGGCTGCAGGGATGCAGCCCCAGCTTTCTGAAGGAGGCAAGGCCAGACCATAAATCACAGGGCATCTGATGCCACCTGCCACCTGTAATTAGCACATCCCACTGGGCCATCCCCACCTCGTCCTGGGCGCTTCCGACCTAGGGGCCCATTACAGGTTGGGAGGTCAGCAGGAACACCCACCCAGCCCTGCTCCCCCGGCTCCTGCTGATTTATCACCGTGTGCTGGAGAGATTTATGGGCTGAGATGAGGAGCCAGAAACGTGTTGTGAGGCTCTGCTGGGCCCATCTGCCTGACAGATGATGAAAGAGCCGTAATTATCTGTCGCCACACATATTTCAGGCTATTCATGGCACTCCCCAGCCTCCAAGCAGGGGTTTGGCCCTCGGGGACTCCCCAGCTCCCAGCCTGTGTCACTCTGGACTGGAGCACTGCTGAGTGCTGAGCACCTGCCCGTTGTCACAGCTCTCATGGGTCCCCCAGCCCAAAGGTGTGGTTTGGGTGTGCAGCCCTAACACTGCTGCTGAGCCAGCCCTCAGCTCCTGCAAAGAGCCCTGGACTGGCTGCCACATCCATCCAGCACCCCAAACTGCTGGAGCTTCCAGGTGAGAGCTGCTGGGGCCATCTGGGAGAACAGCTCTCACTGGAGGGCAAACCCTGGTGGCCTGGAGGGGCTGCCAGCTCCTGGCACTGTCCCAGCACCGTCCATCCTCCTTGGGAAGGCTGCACCGGGAGGCATGGATGTGTCAGAGCAAAGCAAGGGAAGGATGAGAGGCGGGACAAGCTGCAGGGAGGTGCCCATTCCTGTGACAGGGGAAGGAGGAGGCGGCTGTTGCGACACTGCCTGGCCCTGCGGGTAAATAAATAGAGTGCTTTGTTCCTGCTGGGGCACGGCCAGGTGGCACAAACGACGCGGGCTGGTGAGTCACCCATGCCCAGGCAGCCACCCTGCGGGGCACAGGGGGAGGCAGGGACCGGCACTGAGAGGCCTGGAGGCTCCTGTGGGTGAGATCCCTGCTCCAGCTCCAGGGAACAGCCCTGCCCTGGCACGGGTCAGAAAGCCACATCCTGTGGAGCAGGAGTGAGCCATGGGCACGTGCTTAAACACAGCACATGTGGCAGGCAGTGGGCAAAAGGCTTATCTGGGCCTTCACACAATCCCAAAGTCATTCCAGGTGGAAAAGCCCCCTAATCGAATCCAAACGTTAACCCAGCACTGCCTTGTTGCCACTAAACCACTAAACGTCACATCCTTGTTTTGTGAATATTTCCATCACTTTCCTGAGCAGCCTGTTCCAAAGTCTGACCATCCTTTTAGTGAAGACACTTTTCCTAATATCCAGTTTAAGCCTTGAGGCCATTTCCTCTTGTCCTGTCCCTTGTTCCTTGGGAGTAGAGACAAACCCCCGCCAGGTTTCACACTCCTTTCAGGGAGCTGTAGGCCTTCATTGCCCACCACAGGAGCTGTGCCTGCTGCTCCATGTGCCAGGAATGGCTCATCCATCCTGAGACCAGCAGGGCTGGCAGAGTTTAACTGGCCAGAGGATGAGGATGGGACACAGAGCTCTGCAGTGTAGGCCAGGGCACGTGGCAGCTGTGGAAGGCACAGGAGCCACTCCATGTCACAGGAGCTTTTAAGGCTCAGTTGTTCCCAGCTTGGGGATCTCCCAGAGCACGTGGGATGGATTTTGGCATAGTTATCATCTTGTTACTGCCCTGAGCTGCCAGCACCGGGCACTCCCTCACCCACATCCCCGTGCCCACAGCTCCTCAGGGAGACCCAGAGAGGGCAATGGGAGTCTGTGAGCTGCAGGAGACCAGCACCTGCACCCCACTGGTGTCCCCATCCCATCCCAGGGCGGACTTCGCGCGGCACTGGCAGGCGCAGTTCCCGGGGGAGCCGGCGCCCCGCATGGAGCTGGGCTCGGTGCGGGCCATGGAGCGGGAGCTGGAGCGCTGCCGCCGCCACCTGCGCCGCCTGCAGCGGGCGCTGGCCGAGGAGCGCTTCAAGGTGGGATACCTGGAGGCGGCGCTGGCCCGGGCCCCGCCGAAGCCGCCGCCCGCCGCCCCCCGGCCCGCCGGCAGCTCCCCGGAGGGCGGCAGCGCCGGCAGCTCCGACGCGGAGGACGCTTCCTCGGCAGGTGGGTGAGGGGGAGCCGTCCCCAGCCCGCGCCCCCAGGGGACGAGGGTGTCCCCAGCCCCCGCGCCGTCCCCGCCGCCGCACGGTCAAGGGCGAATGTGCACGGCCGAGGGCATCGCCGGTTCTGCGCTCCCGGGCCGTGCCCGTGGCCACCGTGCCCGTGGCTCCGTGCCGTGCCACGGGTGGAGGCAATCCCGAGCCCCTGTGCCATCCGTGCCACACGGCTGGTGCTGTGACTCGGCATGGCAGCCCCAGCGTGTCCCCAGCACGCAGCCGGGAGCACCCCGTGCCGAAACACAGTAGGGAATGCCCAAAGTCCTTTTGCCGTCCCCATGGAACAGCTAATGCCAGCCCTTGTGCAGTCCCTGACCAAGCACTAAGGTCACCCCAAGCTCCTGTCTCCTCCCTGTCCCACTCCCAGGGACATCCCGTGCCCAGGCCCCATCCTTGGGTGTGCAGGGGCGGAGGGTGGCTCAGCTGGCTCAGGTGATGGGCCAGTGGCCCACGAGCCACCCCAGGGGCTGGGACACAGCACAGGAGTCACTTCCTCCCAGCGGCGTGACCTGGTGACGGGAACACCTCTGCTCAGGTGACACCCTGTGACCTCCTGTGGGGAAGTCCTGGAGGCTCTAAAGCAGAAGCATGCCGGGGTGGTGACATGTCCCGGGGCGTTCTTCTAGGTGGATTGAGGACAATGTTATTTCGCAAGTGCCTGGCTGTGTGGTGGCACTGGAGGCACAGCCAGCTAGCGCTGTCAGCCGTCACACTGTCCTACTTCCAGCGGCCTGGAAGTTGTTATTGCATCAGCATTAAACCCGGTTCAAACACAGTCCTGGCAGCTAGGGAATGTCACTTTTAATGCTGCTAATTCCACGGCTGACTTGAGTTAATTTTGTTCTTGCTCGATTGTTAGGGGTGGTGGTTCCCCCCCAAGGCTGTATGGTGCTGGTTTAAGATTGCCTGGAGAGCAAGTGCTCTGATGTCAAATTATGCTTAATATTTAGTTCATTTATATTTATTGCATTAGTCTGCAGCGCTGGAGGAAGTTTCCACTTCACCTTCCTGAGCTGCCTGGAGGTGAAATGTCCAAAGTACGTGGCTGCTCTCGGTGTTGTCACCGTGCTGTGCCAGGCTGCACGTGTGAGTGTTTGTCCCGCTCTCCAGTCGGCTGTGAGAGCCTGTGCCCAGCCCTGCAGCCAGGAACAAGGACCTGGGGAATGCTGCCTCCAAAGGGCTGCTCCAAGCCCCTCTCCAGCTCCCAGCAGCAGGCACGGGCTGTGATTCCTGGAGAGCTGCTCTGTGGCTGAAGTGGCTCGAGTGCATCAGAGCGACCAAGCACAAATCCTTGTGAATTACACTCAGACCTGTGTTTTGTTTCTGTCTGGGTTATGCTCCTGGATGTTTCCAAAGCCAGGATGGTGCAAGGCTGCTCTCAGGTTGGTGGGTGATGTTAAAGGGGCTTTCCTGAAGCACAGCACAAGCCCCTGAGGGTCCTGGCTTCACAACTTGGAGGGGTCCAGCCCTGCACCACCCTTTGCAGCTGGTGGGGGTGAGACTTTTGGCAAGACTTTGAAGTCCAAGGTTGCATCAGCTGTGGTCGAATGTGGCCTCTTCCTCCTCCTCCTCCTCCTCTTCCTCCTCCCCTAAATGGATCTTCCTCAGGGTCAGCAGCTCCAGCACTCATCAGAGGAGGAAGCATCCCCTCTGCTGCGTGCCTGGCTCCTTGCCCTGTGACACGGCTGGGCTCAGCCTTGTCCCGAGCCTGTCCTGAGCCTTTCCCAGGCATCAGCATTTTCTTTGTTGGGTGTTATAAGGGCCCCTGTGTGCGCTGCCTGGGCTGACATTTAAGAGTAGAATTTGAGAGTGCACTAAGAGGTGTGCAGTCCTTGCCTGGATCCCCCTTTCATGGACAGTTGGTTAACCCGGTGCTCCTGTTGTTTTCTTCTCACTTCTCTATGTTTCAGATGCAATTGAAAATTCATGATTGTGGTGCTGTTTGCTTTTCCTGCCAGCACTCTGGTGGTGTGTAACCCGGTTACTACTACTCTGCCTGAGTCCCTCAATATTTTAATGTGAATTTTGGAGCTTAGTGGTGCTGTGGCTGTGGCTGAACACAGTCAGTCCCCAGCTGTATCAACCTTGAGAAACACCCTTTGGACAGCAAGTGAAGGAGTGTTGAATACCATCTTTATGGGAATTACCAGGGAAACACAGTGTTTTCCTTTAAGTAGCTTGTGATTAATCAGATTTAGAGGGAGGAAATCTGCAAGATGCCCGTCTGTGGCTATCGCACGGGAGCGACGCGTGTGACAGCCAGACACAGATCCTGGCATCTGAGATAACGCCTGTGCCAGCTCTCCCGGGACCAACAGAATCTGAGCGTCAGCGAGCAGATGGCTCAAAACGAAGCGTGGAAAGGGCTGAAATTCCCCTCATCTGGGCCGTCACCTGTCCCTGTGGCTAAACACGCAGCTGGCCTCGCGGCTGAGTGTGCGCGGTGCTGGGGTGCAGCGGCGCTCGGGCTGGCTGCTGCTTCCTTCTCCTCCCGTTTGCCACGGAAGGGATGGAGGGCTGTGGGTTGGTGCCAGCCTGGAGAGGGTGAGCTGAGCAGGAGGTGGTGCTGGTGGCAGAGAGGAGGACGTGGTGAGGCTCGGTGGAGATGCTTTGTGCCCGGCAGCCAGGTAGCGCAGAGGTGGAAGCAACTCGGTGCTGGGTTTCCTCGCTTTGTCCTTGGGAAGCAGAGGAAGAGGCTGGCTTTGCCATGGAGCTGAAGCTCCTCTGGAAGTCTGTGGGGTTTGGGAGCCCCTGAGCTGCCCTACACCCCAGAAATGTGAGCTCTGGGGTGGGGAGTGTTGGCATAGCTGGAATAGTCCATGATGGCGTGATCGGCTGTGAGATGTGCTGTGAGTGAATCCCCAGGCCTCTGTTTAGCTGGAATTACAGTTTCTCTCAAGGAAAGATTCTGGAGTCACGTGGGCTCTTCTCCTCACTCCTCTGCACTGCCTTCAGTGGTACCTTGGGAATGGGAAGGGAGCTGCTGGCAGCAGCAGGGTCCTGCCTCGGAGGGTGGTGAGCACAGAAGGGCAGCGGTGTCAGGGTGTGCAGCAGAGGGCTGAAGTGGGGAAAGGACCCTGGGGCATCTGCAGTTCCTGGAGCATTGGCCACCTCACCCCTGCATGCCCAGATGGGGGCTGGATTGGCATGGATGTCATGCTGGGGGCTCCTGACATGATTTGAGTAAACTCAGGGCTTGTTCTTGTCACTCCATCCCTGCTTCCAGCTTCTCGTGCTGCTGCTGCTGCTGCTGCAAAAGTGGCACCTCTGTCTGTCCCAGAAAAACTCCCTGCACCTGTGGAGGTGATGGGCCAGCTCTGTCCTGCTGTCCCAAGCTGCACTTGGACCCTGCTGCTTCCTTGTCCCTTTCTTGGAATATTCTGCAGAAGCAGAAGGAAAAATAGTGAGCAAAGTCTGGGGTTTGTCCTGGTGCATCTCATTCTGCATGGGGCAGGTCATGGTGTGCAGGAGGGGAAGGAATGGTGATTCCACAGCCCAAGGAAGGTGAAATGTTGCATGGTCTGTGCATCCACCTCCCCTCCTTTAGCACCTGGTTGGGATCTTGGTGCCAAACCAGGGAGGTGCAGTGGGGGCAGTGTGTCTCCCCAAGAGCCCGTCTACCACCTCTGTGTCCTTGTATTTAGTTTCTAAATTTTTACTTTGTTATATTTCCCCATTGTTAGAAAGTGCTTCTTTGGCTCTGAAGAGCCTGGAAGTTCCTCCTCTGGCCAGGGCAGGCCAGGCAGAGTCTCAGTGTTTAATTTTAACTGCTTAGGCAGGGACAAAACCACAATATGTGTGTGTGTGTGTGTGTGTGTGTGTGTGTGTGTGTGTGAGTGAGTGTGTGTGTGTGTGTGCCTGCTGGGGACCTTTGAACTCTCTCCATCTGCTCTGGGGCCCGACAGCATTTGGGGAAGTGATTTCTCCCCACAAACCCCCCTGGTGGCATTGTGACAGCAGCCCCTGAGTGATGGCAGGCTGCTTCCTCAGAGGGCAATGCTGCCTGAGATGGGGACTGCAGGGTTAACTCTGGAACAGGTTGTCACTGTTAAAGATCATAAATAAATGTAAAGTTTATGGGGCTGAAAAGCCTTTGAGGAGAAGAGTTGAAGTTTAAAGCTTTAAGTGAGAGCAGTAAGTGCTGCTTGTTGGAGTTTGCCCTGTGATGGGCAAATAGTGAAGGGCTTGTAAGGAGCTGCAAGAGCAGAGGGGAAAATGTGATCAGCTCTGCCCGTGGGCACCACCGTGGCAGCAGCTGCATCTTCTGGCTGGGGGAGCAGCCCTTCCAGGTGCCAGGGCCCTGCAGAGAAGCAGGATGGGTGCACAGAGGGCTGGGAGTCCCTGTGTATCTCACTGGGCAGGGGTACTCCCCTGGCACACAGCGGTGCTGCTCTCATCAGCACAGAGATGCCAACATCCCCCCTGGAGGAGGAGGTCTGGATGCAGCACCCTGAGCATCCCTGTGTTCTGCCACCTGGGCACAGACCCACTGGCTGGGTTTTGGCCCCCAGAATTTGGGGCAGAGCCGATGCTGAGCTCCCCCAGCTCACCCAGGGCTGGGTGGTGGTGCTGGGGATGGAGTTTGCCCTTCAGTGCCAGCAGTGCCAGGGGCTGTGCCACCATGGGGACGAGCCTTCAGCACGGAGGTGGCCCCCAGGCTCACAGTGGCTGGTTGTGGGTGATCAGTAGCCCCAGGTAGAAGCAATGGCAGCAGCAGGGCAGGCAAGAAATCCTCATTAGGTGGCTGGATAGAGCCAGAAGTGCCCTGCGGGGCCTGAATACATTTGCATTGTAAGGCTATTGAAATCTGGTTGGGGTTTGTTTTCTTTCTATTTCCCTGGGAAGACACTTCTGTGCAGCGGGGCTCTTTGTTCCTCGGGTTCCTCCTCCCCTCCTGCCCACAGTTGGGATCCCAGTGGATGGCTCTGCTCTGTTTTCTGCTGGGTGCTGTCTGCTGTGGCCAGCCCTGCAGCAGTGATCACAGGGAGAAGCTTTGCTCTGTGCTGGCAGGGAATTCATATTGTCCTGGGTTAGAGAATGGAGCCTGGGCTG